TTCTCTAATTAAATTTGCAGCGGTATAAATTCCACAACTTCCCTAGACAACTTGTTCCATTGCCAGGCTTTTATTACAATTAACAAGCTTGCGTCCAACCTGATGTTCATCCTCAATTTTCGCTACCACAAACTAAACTCGTTTGCCACAGCTGAGTGAGTTCTTTGAATAGTAACTTTGGCACACACCTTTCTGTCAACAGAAGTAGCAAATGAGTACATGGATTTCTCTCTCTCTCTCTCTCTCTGTCTCTCTGTCTCTGTCTCTCTCTCTCTCTCTCTCTCTTCTCTCTCTGTGTGTGTGTGTGTGTGTGTGTGTGTGTGTGATGGATGTTATCTCCATTGAGATGAATGGGGCAGTCACTCTCTGTGTACATCACAGTGCCCAGAACCTCTGGATCGTGGCTACAAATTCTGGTCAGCATTTCAAATGCTTGAAGTCTGGAAATAAATAAAATAAGTAAGTAAGTAAGTAAGTAAGTGCTTCATCTTATTTTCTCCAGACTGGACACATCCAGGCCAGGCTCTTTATGGCTTTTGTTCTAAGCACATTATCATGGCTTTCTCATCTCCAAATAATATCTGCTTTGTAAAAAGAAAGAAAGAAAGAAAAGAAAGAAAGAAAGAAAGAAAGAAAGAAAGAAAGAAAGAAAGAAAGAAAGAGGGGAAGCTTTTTGTGATGTGGTACCCCAAAATTGGACACATTGTCCAGATGAATTATCACCACTGATTATTATAACTTCCACAACTTTAGAAAATATATGCTGGTGGCTCATTAGAAACGTTTTAGAGTTTAATTACTATACTAGAACCCTTCTATCGGAGTACCTTGCACAGGACTGTGGGTTGCAGCCAACTATGTTCTACTTACAGTAGACCCATTGAAATGAGTGAACCTAAGTTAGCTGTGTGTCCATGAATTTCAATGGGTATAACTAACATTGGATACAACCCATTAGCTCTCTGTCCTAATCATGTTCCCACTGTTCTCAGTCCCCAAAGACCGTCTCCTTCCTTCTTTCCCATGGCTGAGATTCTCCCTCCTTCTTCTCTGCCTATTCAATAGCCTTTCTACTTCCCACCATCACAACCAAAGGCCTAGCTGAAAAGAAGCAATGTATACCTGACAACCTGCCCCCCTCAGATCTGGAGTTGCCCTAAGCCCTCTGGGCCAGCTAGCTTGGAGCCACCATTTTAACCTCCTGCAATGCCACCAAGTTAGCATTGCTCCAGAACACTGTGGGAAATGCAATGGTGGCTTCATGCCTTCTAGGCTAATTGTCTTGCTGCAGCTGGGGCAAAGTCAGCTTGGCAGGGCCTACCAATGTGAAGAATAGCCACAAGATGACACTCAAGGTTCCCCTCAAATCTGGAACCAGCCTTGAAGTAAGCTCCTCACCATTTTGGCACCACTGGCTCCTTATTTGTCTTGCCAAATAAGTGCCTTACACCAGGGCTGGAGAACTGGATCTGACCAGTAGGCTGGATCCTGATCTCCGCCAACTCGAGTGCACCATTTTGACAGGTGAAAGGGTCCATGATGTCAGGTGAAACATTTTTCACTGCTCATGCATTTTGAAAGTAAACCACACAGGCCAAGGAACTGGGCTTTGCAAGCACCAAATATCAGCTGTGACTGCTTGAAGGCCCAGGGCTTTGCAAATTCAGATGATCAGTGATGCCTGCAAATCAAATTAGAAAACTGTCCGGGCCCAATTAAGTTGTGGGCTAGAGTCCCCACTGCTACCTTACCCAATAATCCCGCTTGTTCAATGGTTTGGCCAGCTGTCCCCTAGTCTGGGAATGGAGAACATGTGTCCCTCTAGATGTTGTTGGACTCAAACTCCCATCAGTCACAGTCAGCGTGGCTAATGGTCAGAGATGATGGGATTTGTAGTCCAACAAAATCTGGAGGGCCTCAGGTTCTCCAGCCAAACTGGTACGATTTAAGAACTATCAGATGCCATTATCATGGCAGTCATTAGTCATTCCGGTAGTCTTTAGTAGGCATCAATATAACCTTTAAAAATTACTGGCTTCACATCACCTCCTGCTGCCTTTATATATGTTAATATATTACTGCAATGTTTCTCGAAATGATTCAGTATCATCGATGGGCTGTAATTTTTCATGTCAGAAAAGTTCAAAGTATGCTAAATTGTGGTTAGACCTTTTGTGGCTTTATATTTCTAGGGGGCATCACTGGAACAGTAGTCCAGGATGTGCATTTATCTTGACTATTTACAGTGCTTTCCCGTTCCTTACTGATCCTCACATCTCATACTATCACTGCAGTATTCTTACTCATTCACATGCCAAGCTAGTTTTTATGAACCGCTTTAAAAAAGTTCAGTAGAAAAATGCATCACCCAAGAAGGACTTTAGAGAGGTAAATTATTCAGGCCATCTTTGAATCTCATAGCAATCAGTAACAGACTCTCCCAAGATTACTTCATTCCATGGATTACAGAAAACTCTTTATTTTTATGATTTTATGGATCTTTCAACAGGAATGGAAGAATAAATCAGTTCAGTTCACATCTTAAAGCAAACCTTCCTAACTCACTCTTTCCGAAACTATATGTGCAACAGAAGCACAGCCATCCTTTGAAAGTCTCATACTTTTACATTGCAGTTCTCCAAGGAAGTAATGGGTAGAAAAATGTGTATATACTGGAATAATGTGTGCCAAAATGCATTCTATTTGGGGGAATCGCTCTGCAAAAATGAGTATACGCGGCAAAATTGAATACAAATGTGTACGTTAAAAGAAAACTCATCCTAAAATGCTGGTGAATTTTCATGCAGATTTAAAAAAAAATCACAAACAGATGTGAGAATATGGAAAACTGAATTTAAGTTTGGGGGGAAATAGAAATTTGGAGAACCTATAATTGACAGATTCACCGATCCCTACCTTTTAACTACCACTTCCAAATGGTGGATTAAAAACAAACAGACTTGATAGTTGTGACCAAAAGGTGATCAAGCACCACCCTTGGAAATCGTGGTGGGGAGCAAAGAGACAGCTCACCCCAATGAACCATAACCCCCAGATTCCCAGCTTTCATTTTTAAGAAAGTTTCTAAGATTTGTGGAACCTGAGTGTTTGTGAGTAGGTGTGTGTGTGTGAGAGAGAGAGAGAGAGAGGCTCACCTGCTCTCCCCTTTCTGCATTTTACTTCCCCCCGCCAGTGCCCTTCTGCCCCGGAAAAATTTATGTGGATTCCCACCATACCACTCATGAGAAGGAATCACTGCTGCAGTATCACTGCTGCATCAGCTCCTGGTAAATACAGAAGGATTACTACCTGTTGTGTAATAATAAATAACTGTTCTTCAAATGTTGACAAAGCCATCAGCAAAAGATATAAAACTTGGGTTCTTAGCATGCCACCAATGGGACTTAAAGATACCAGGCCTTATTCTTATAATAGATGTCCATAAAGTATACTATTTTATATCTTGGAGACAAGAATTATCTAAAAGGAGGCATTTATGGTTAGTTCCTCTTCAGTGTGAATAGTTGACGTATGCCATGTGCTCAAGTCATTGCTCTGGGGAGATTCTATCTGTCTATATTTTGCCTCTGCGCCAGTCAGTCTCCATAGCAACCTGTTTGCTCCCATGGAGAAAGAAGATGGGGTTTTTTCCCACACACAAAAAACCCCTTATATTTTGAAAACATAGCTCCTTCTGGATTTTTTTTGTTTGTTTTTTTGAAGGGGGGTGACCAATCTTTGACTTTTCTTCTCCTTGACATTCATATATGGTGCTTCCATTTGTTCGCCCAGATCACTGTAGCAGCAGGGATAAAATCTGACATTATTTCATCCTCTGAATGAAAGGTTCATTTATTTACATCAGCCTTTCTCATCCTGTGGGTCCCCAGATGTTGTTGAACTACAACTCCCTTCACGCCTAGCTAGCAAGGCCAGAGCTGAGGGATGATGGGAGTTGTAGTCCAACAACATCTGGGGACCCACAGGTTGAGAACCGCTGATTTACATGTTTACATGTTAAGTGTGGAAGCAGAACCAGTGTGGTGAGGTGGTTAGAGTGACCTGGGAGACCTGGGTTCAAATTCCCACTTGGCAATGAAACTCACTGCTTCTCAGCCTAACCTTCTCATAGGGTTGTTGTGGGAAATTAAATGAGGAGGAGGGGCCATGTACACCATCCTCGGAGGAAAGGGTGGGATATAAATGGAATAAATTAATACAGTGGCCTGTTGCAAGCAGACTGATGTATCGTGCATTCAGAGATGCCATTTTGAGGGCAGACAATGGATAGGGTTTTTTCCCCTTCCTAATGCTACTTTTCATGAGGTTGAACCAACTGTGGTCCCACTGAAAATTTTCCCCACCCACCCACTATGCATTTATAAGCAATGCCATTTCAATGTTTCAATATCACCCCAGCATGTTACATGAGGGTTAGTGATGGTCCCTGATGATGTAATGCAACCTAGGAACAGGGCAGAAATTTGTTTTGTTTCCTATACTATGGCAAACTTGCCTGATTTGCATTTTCCAAAACAGCCATTCTTCAAAATTTGCACTTCTTTGAATTTTGCAATGTACTTCTCCAGCCAAGGAATGTGCACAAAAATGCATATACTAAGGTAAAACGTGCCTATAAAGGCAGATATTAGTGAAATTAATGTATGACTATGCAATATATATGGGGAAATTATTTTGCAAAAATGTGTATTATAGGCAAACTTGTGTGTGAAAATATTATGAGGAATTTGAACTAAAATGTGGGTGAATTTTCATGAGGACATTTTTTTTAAAAAATAAAATAAATAAACTGATGTGGAGAACTGAATTTAAGATTGGAAATATGAAAAACCAAGATAATCCAAAATGAACATGTTTGCCCATCCCTAATCAAACCTTTGCCAGTGGATATGCTCTTGGAGCCAACATAGTCTCTATTTTTCATGGCTGAGGAAGGAAGGATTAATTCTCTACTCCCCATGCATCATGGTCCCAATGAAAATGACTCCTGTATGCATTTAATATTAATTTTTTAAAAATACGGAGGCTACACATTTAAACCAGAGCCTTTTGCTGCATCATTGTCCTCCAGGCACACTGGGGTTTGGGAGGCAGAGCTTTGATCCCTGATGATCTTTTAGAAGCTTTGTATATAAATGAGCCACTTCACTATTCACTGAACAATTCCCAGAACCTTAAAGTCGCTGGACCACAGTCATCCTTCCTGTGTTGTGCAATCTACCTTTTAACAGTCTTGTTTGTAAACTTGAAAGCACAATGAGGGCCTTTCTTGGAGGTTTTATAAAGCCTTATCAAAGCAGCTCGGATGACGACACCTCAGCGCTTTACTTCCACTCTTAATGTATTATTGCTTCAGAGCCCAAACACTCTTGTAATCGTCTAAGAAAAGACTCGGCATCTGCTTCATCTGGAGGTAATGAAGCTTTTGTTTTCTGCGCCAACTCTTCAAGTCCAACATCTGACATGTTGGGGTGGGGGGGTGGGAGTTTTTACAGATGGGCTATCAGAACCTGCGCTATTTCTGTGCTGAGTTGCCTCCACCCCCTTTCCCCTTTTGCATTCTCTAAGATCTTTAAACTGAATATTCTTCTGAACAGGAGGAATGCTGTCTGCAAATTCTTTCACAAGGAAGATGCCCTCCACATTTCTGCTGGCTTGCACATTCTTTGACAAGAGAGGCGCAGAAAGCAAGGACCCACGTTACATAACTGCGAGATACACCCGTACGTTTCCCAGAGCAGAGCAAGGAGAAGGGATAAGATGAGTATCAGGGATTGAGCTGGCAGCTCGAGACAAAAGACTTCTGAGGAGATGCTGTTTTGTCTCTGAAGCTCAGGCAGAGGACGATAATTCATATGCTAGGTACTAGATCATGAGCCAATGAGGAATGCTTTTAAAATCCGCTTGATACTAGAATACTGAACATGAGGTAAAGGGGCTGGGGAGATTATTTCCAGATGTAGGTGGCACAACTACAAGACAGTCAATAATGGAACTCATGGCAAGAAAGGAGAATGTTGGTAAAGGAGAGTGAACAGGACACAAAGGGTTGTAGACCCACTGAAATTAATGGACCCAACTCAGCCAGGCCCATTAATTTCAAGGGGTTTACTCAGTGCTCTTTTTCTAGAACAGCAACGGTGCCCACTTAAGAGGTGCCATGGAGCTGAGCTCTGACCAGTGTCCCACCAGCACTCCCCAGGCTCTGAGCCTTCCTCCTCTGAGGCTTCCCTATGGGGTTCGCCAACTAGTTCCTCTAGCCACTCCTTGCCACCCAGCCAGTCTCTGACAACAGGATGCTTCCTTGCTGTACAGTTTGCCTCCAACCCATGGACATCAACTGGAACAGTGTTTAGGGTAGAGCCCATCCATATATGTTCATTTAAGCCATATCTGAGTCTCTGAATAGTGTTATATTAATGCCCCAGATGCCCCTCTGCATGTTCATTTATGAACACCTGAAAAGGGCTAAAGCTTACCTACCAACATTATATTTTTATGGGGTTTTTTGTGGGGGTATGTTAGCATCCAAAATGCACATGCAAAGGGTTAATTGCAAGAGCAGTAGAACTCTGTGATGTCATGCGCCTGGGGCAGTTATGGCAGTTATTTCCGTTGGTTCAGTTCATAGTACAGTCTTAGTAGTTGGAACAGCAGGTATGTTATGTTATGTTGTGGTGCTGCCTGCCTCAGAGTTAGTTAGTAACAGTATAATCTACGTAAGATGCTTTAGCAAGTTAAGAAACACCGACATGCATTGTATATTTAATCTGCAACTGTATGTACACTAATGAAAAGTTATTCATCATTCTAAACTTAGGTTTTTTGGGGGGGGGACTAATTAAAGGGTCAAACGCATATTTCCGCATATATCTGCAAATGGGAACTAGAGGTTAATGCCCACATGCTGATCTTATGAAGCCCTCTTTTATATTCTCTGCTTATGGAGGTGGCAAGATATGTCATTGCTGATCGCATAATTGTAAGTTACATGATCTGAGAGAAATGAAGATATGGGCATGAAATGATCTTTTCAAAAAAACAAACATGTGGACTGATCTCTCCCCTAAGCTGGAGTGCTGTTGCATAATAGCATAATAAGTGCCTTCCTGGATCAGATGAAAGGCTCTTCCAGTCCTCCTGTTCTCTAACAGAGAAATTCCAGATCCCACCACCACCACCAAAAAATCTGGTGCTAGTTTTGTGCCGCAAACCATGTCTTGTTCTGGCGCCCAAACTGAGTAATTGTCACTCAAAACGGGGTCACAAGTAAGTGGCCGCAAACCCAACCTTGTCCGATTGGCTCCAAACCAGTACCAAAATGGTGTGCCAGTTTGGTGCCATTTTGTGCCACAAGCCCCACTTTCTGTGCCGTACCCCAAACTGAGTAATTAACGCTCAACCCATAAGTGCAATTAGTGCTAAGGCTGGCTAAATGGGGACTTAAGTTGGCTAAGTAGGGACTTAAGCTAAGGGGACTTAGCCAACCTCAGCCACAGAAAGCAGGGTTTGAGGCACAAAATGACACCAAACCAGCATACCACTTTGGCACCTGTTTGGAGTCAATCAGACAAGGTTGGATTTTTGGTCATTTACTTGTGCCCCTAATTTGCTTTGTCAATTACTCGGTTTGGGGTGGTGGTGGCACAAAACATGGAGTTGACGGCACAAAACAGCACCACTTTCACTAAACTTAGGCATCAGTTTTGGGGGGCGGAATCAGAATTTTGGAGTCACATGTTAATGAAGCTCAACCAGATGCCTCTGGGAAGCCCGTAAGGACCTGAGCCCAAGAGCGCTTTCCTAACTGGCATTCAGCCCCCTGCTGCCTCCAACTGTGGAGCTAGAACATAGCCATTGTGGCTGGTAGCCACCAACAGGCATACGCTCTTTGATATTTCCTTTCCCTCTGAAGGCCATCCAAGTTTCAGTGGCAGAGCTTCATGGTGCCCAGCGCAGGGGGGGGGGCAGCCGCAATGGCAGTCACAACGGCACCCCACCAGGATCGTGGTGCCGGGGGCAGTGCACTCCCCTGCCCCCCTCTTCCTCGCCAGTGCCAAGTTTATGGCCATGGCTGCATCTTGCCGTAACCACACTTCACAGTTTAAACTGTGGTCTGTGTGAAGTAGTCTCTTGTACTTCCTGTCACTTCGTATTAGATGCTTTGGCTATTGGCTGTCTCTCTGTTCCTCCCAGCCCACTGAGATTGGGGGAAGGCCAGGTTTCGACAAAGGAAGTGCTTTCATCAGTCTTCCATCCATTCTCTTAATTTCTGGCAAGTTGTTGTTGTTGTTTTCTTTTTTTCAAATGTTTATTTTATGAATTGGGATGTTGGAATGAGGGGAGGGAGGGGAGCAACAAAGAGAGGGTGTTTCCTTTTTCTTTTCTACATCATAGAAGGAAACCATTGTGAGCTCAGCCAATATAGTGGTACCTCTGGTTAAGTACTTAATTCCTCCAGTCTTTAAGTCAACACTACTACAGTGGTACCTCGGGTTAAGTACTTAATTCGTTCCGGAGGTCCATTCTTAACCTGAAACCGTTCTTAACCTGAGGTACCGCTTTAGCTAATGGGGCCTCCCGCTGCCACCGCACGATTTCTGTTCTCATCCTGAGGTAAAGTTCTTAACCCGAGGTACTACTTCTGAGTTAGCGGAGTCTGTAACCCGAAGTGTTTGTAACCCGGGTACCACTGTAGTGGGAACAACGGCAAGTCCATGACAAGCCTCTTAATTGTTGCTACTGTTTCAGCCAATCAGAGGTTGCTACATAATAGCTGGGCCATGTGGTTTCCAAAAGCCGTGTCTGGGGTTTGTCAGGGCTTTGCTTTCTACACTGCTTTATATAGCGACTGACAGGACAAGGCAACTTCAGCCCAGCAGAAAATGTTTATGGGTTGCACCTTCCTTCTTAACTATCTTGCTGTCTTGAGTATCTTTCGTGGATAACAAAGTAATCAATTTTACAAGTATATCGTTAGTTGCTGGCTCCTTTGAATGCAGGTCCATTTTGAAAACATGAGCATTAAAGTGCATGTGGAAGTTAAAACGATAGCCCTTGGCTGCCACCTAAAGGTTTTAAGTGTCACTATGAAAGGATACCCTCCTGTTGAAAAATAGATATCACATTTTGTTCAAGATGATTTCACCTCCTGTCTTTACAAGAAACATCCAGCCTCTTTACTGCAAGTGAGAGGTGGTCATCCATATGCCTGAGCCTTCCCATCTGCAGATGTCTGCCTTGTAGCAACAGATTCAAAATTAGGATAACGAAAACATAAACAGCAACACACTGGGAGTTAACACATATAATAGTGGTGCCCTATGTAGTTACAATCCTTGCATCATCGTGCCATGCAGACTATTTCACACACACAAATGTCTTTCATAGATAATTACTTTGCTGGGAGGGGGCACGTATGTACCCTACAAATATTATGATACCTTGGTTTTCGAACAGCTTAGTTCTCAAACGTTTTGCCTCCCGAACACTGCAACCTCGGAAGTGAGTGTTCCGGTTTGTGAACTATTTTTGGAAGCTGAACATCCGACGGGACTTCTGTGCCTTCCGATTCACTGAGGGAGCTTCTTGCAGCCAACCAGAAGCCACGCTTTGGTTTCCAAATGTTTTGGAAGTTGTACGGACTTCCAGAACAGATTCTGTTCAACTTCCAAGGTACAACTGTATACAGATACTTTTATGAAAGCACAATGTGTCTGTTTCATCATTGTGCACCACCAGTTGCCTGGTGGTACCAGAAAAATTTAGTACCTTACAGCAAACTTCTAAGATGCGCTGTCATGAAATGGTATGTACACTATGACAGCATCTCAGAAGTACCATGCGTCGGAATATAGGAAGAGCCATGCTGAATGCATCCAAATACCTTGTCCAGAATTCTTTTCCTCACAGTGGCCGATCAGGTGCCTATCAGAAGCCCAAAGAGTAGCACTCTCCCACTTCTGTTTCCCAGCAATTCTATTCAGATGCTTAATGCCTCTGATGCTGGACATGATATATTGTTACACACACCCCTATCTCAGAGTGATGTGAGATTCCACGGGTTCCAGGTGCTTACCCAGGTTTCAGGTTTCCTTCAGAAATTAGGCACAGTGGAGACTGTATTGTCTTTATAGTATATGGTTTATTTACACATGTATATAACCTGAGTCTACAATGGAGGAATTTCCAGCATTCACATCCTATGAGGGTCTGGCTTCCTCCTTAAGGGAAGAATTGGATTCAAAGGACAGCAAAAAGACACTTTCTGTGTCTAGTTCCAGCTTGTCCTCCCCAGCTTCCATGGAGTTCTGCCCTTCCTTCCCACTGCTAACCAACTCGAAGGCCCTCCCCCCAGGCTATGTCATTCAAAGTGCAAACCCAAAGCCTGGCCTTTGTCTGCTGCCATTGGCCTTTGCCTCTGCTTCTCACTCAGATTGATTGAGAATCATTCTTAATGACCCAGTACTCTGTTCCCTTTGTTTGTTGCTGATGCCCCATCTTCTCCCAGGTGACCTCCTGAGCCCAGAAACCAGGTTTGGCCTGTATTTTTGTCACTGCTAGATTCAGCCCTGCTAGCTTTCCTTAATACTCCAAACATTGATTTATTCCTATCATTTATTAAATCTAAGGATTGGGGGGGGGAAGGATCTCCAACTTATAAACTCATAACACATTTAGGGGGATCTAGCCCCCTCCAAACACTCATAACACCAGCAATCAT